CATGTAACAGCGCGAGAGTAAGGTAGAAATGGAAGGCAAACGGAAAGACACCCACCTGCAAGGACATTGTGAGGTTAGCCTGAGGATTCAACTCCTTTTGCTCTACCTCCTTCCGCTTCTTGAAACGGCGGAAGTAATCTTGAATGAGATAAGTGGCGTAGAACTTCCCCACCGTTATTTCGTCATCACCTGCAGAGAAAAACAAACAATGCGTGAGTGAGTAGAGTTAAAAGGCTACTTACGGCCAGACGGAGGTACGACCTCGTCGAGCAGCTTCTGTGGTGTACGCTTCCAAATTCTCTTGATGACCGTGCGGAGCTGTTCGTTCGCCTCCTCGATGTTGCCGGATGCTAAAGCAATGCAAATCATCATCAAACCTGGCATGGCAGCGGCGAAAGAAAATAAAAAATGAAAATAAATTTCAGAAAAAGTATCATCAAGCTATGAGTTGAAAGTCACAAGCGTAAAACGCGAAAGCGTCAAAGCCGAAGCTACTGGCCAGATAAAAACGTCAACCGCACATTCATCAATGCAGGTGACCGAAAGGCAGATGGAAAGCGAGTCAACGGTGGAATGGTGACCTCCCGATGAACCAAACAATCGGAAGAGCCGAGCCGAACCAAACCAGAGCTGTACGCCTCATCTACATGAGCATCAGTGATCGGATCACAACCGTCATAGAACTCTAGCCCAGTAAGGTCGTTATAGAAGCAGTGATAGTAGCAGCAGCAGTAACAACAGCAGCAGAGCGAAGACACTCCCTAGCTTACGAACACTGGAAGACGACGACCAAAAATTAGGCCGCCCGTTGAGTCATACGCCTACTGTTTTGGTGTACACTTACACAGACAGCTGCTACGCAGCCAGAAGCCGAAGACATTAGGTTGGCGCAAAAACGCGCACAACGTTAGTAATTGGCTACGGGCAAACCGAAGCCATTAACAAATGACGATCACTAGATGAGAAGAGCACGACTTGTGTGCGTGTGTGTGACTTGCGCCGAACACACAAGCTAACAGACAGGTGTCTAAGCATTTATAAAGAAACGGTTAAATCCTTCATACGAAACGTGGCAAAATAAGCCAGAAGCAACAGCACCACAGCATTACGCCGATGTACGGCCTGACCAGAGTCGACAATGAGGCTGGTTCCGTTGCAAACGACCAAATCAGATGTTCCTCATGTTGTTATGGCACATCTCGAAACAGCGCTAAAACTTATCTCAGAGTATCGCGGACCACTGGGCGAAAAGTATATCTACCAGGTATAGAAACACCACACTGCTATGTATAAAAACGTAGTTCCGTCAAAATTTCTACAGCAAATCCGCAATCCCATGCTCAGCGCGTTTCATAAGATCCAGACGCAAACACGAGGAAATACCAACTTGGAGTGCAAGTTATGCTACACTTCTACCTCTGGTTATTTGCTTTCCGAAGACAGCAATTTTTTGTTGTTGAATCGTGCAATACTTTTTATTTCGAGACGTAAAAACAAACACTGTTCTTATGGGCTGACTAGACCGGAACGTCTACGCCGAGCATATCCGGATGTAACAGAGAATGCTACTTTATGACCGGTGGAATCGAAAGTAAACTAGCACTGGCGTTTATTTACATGCACTAATATGCTTACGAATACTGGCATTTCGGCAGGTATCCGAACAGGTGTGTGTTCGGCCCTACCCAGTGACGCGGTTTTGCATCCATGCACTGCAAGTGATCAAATACAAAGTGGAACCGTGAGCTGCTTAAATGGTCTCCTATGCCAATAGAAGCAAGAACAGCGCCTACGTAGAACAAATCCGGAAGTAGCGGAAAATGTTACTTTCCTATATGAGCAGCTTTTTAATTCTACTGCTGAGAAACAAAATTTCTTCACAGCATATTCAAACAGTGAACTTAATTAACTGAAGAACTGATGGTGGATTGTGTTCGAACGCAACGGAAGCGAGCTTCTTTACACTTCGAAGCAAACCTCTTAGACAACTGCGTCAACTCGCCACCTACGAAGTTAATCAAATTTCAGTCAAGAGAGCGAAAAACTTTCCACGGCTAAGTGGTGAAATATAAGGCAAATTAGTTCGACTACCTCAATGCCAGAGTTTTCAAGGAAGTAGAAAACGCAGAGCAGAAGTACGCATACTTTTATGCTGCCATGACTGCAATACGTACAATACTGTCCGGTGCAACTTACCTCAACCGATGGTAATGAGGGCTGCAAGCTAAGAAATACAAGCAAATACGAGAAACGAGGTTCGTTGAAACAAATAAATTTTTGGCAATAACTTTGTTCTAACGGGGTTCGAAATATCTTCGCTAATGAGCCTTTACTTATCCAAATTGACCAATCATAACAATGCATTGGTAACGTGATAAGATACGGCGACAGAAGACCTCCAACAACGATTCGGTTCGCGAAGCTACATGAAAGAAGGCCAAAAAGCAGAAAGAGTACCACATGCGTTCAGTACAGTAAAATGTGATTAATGCAAAATTTGCGTTTCGTAAAGAGTGGAAAATTCAAACTTCACGAAAACTCCGAGCTCCAAACATTAAACAGATATACGCAAATACAAAACACTAAAATGTTACTTCAGAATGTGATACTGAGTCTAAATCCAGTAAATCTACTTACAAAGTAGGAAATGAACTGCCATTTTTATAACAGATTAAACAAAAAGTGTTAAAGCGAACACCGCTGTCACTTATGCTCAATACATGGTACAAAATAGTCATTTAAATTGTGAAATTGCAGTAGAAACAAATTCAGTTTATCTAAAAACGCATTAGCATAGTTCCGTTTAAACGGCTGCAGCGGCGGTAGACATCTCTGGTTTTTTCATCTTAACATATTTAGCACCGTAAGCGGTAATTTATAAGCAATTACCGTCAAAAGAATTTAAAAAAAAATAAAATATCATATTTAGAACAAGCCTAGCTGAATAACTCGTAAAATCAGCGCGAATGGTTTTCAAGAATGTACTCGCTGGCAAGTGGATCATCAGTACGCAAAAGGTGAAAATACGCTGTGATCCAAATACAATCCACTGCTGCAAAGAACAGCTGTATGAACGAAATACATTATTTTACGAACATAATATTTGCATAAATTTGATTTTGAATAACTCAAAACCAAAAATATCGAAATTATGAACAAGGAGTCAGTATTCTTGGAATAAAAAATCATTAACCTTCTCAGAAGATCTGGCATATCTGAATGGAATTTGTCTCTTCGAATTTGAAAAGTTTGAATTAAATTGAAATTCAT